CCCCACACACACAAATTGCACCCCAAAATAATTCATAAAGAGTTAAATGTTACCTTTGATATGGAGTATTTTCCAGTGGTTGTCATTAGGGCTGGGCAGAAATGTTTGACTATAGAACCACTACACCGCCTGTGACATAGGCCGTACGTGGCCAGTGTCGATATACCTGGATGCGTGGAGTTGTCATTTCTGGCTCAAAGACTGACGCGCAATGACCCGCCAGTGCTTATGGTCGCTTCCGTTATACACTCTGTCATATTTAGGCCAATCCATGCCAATGCCGATATTAATTGACTGCCAATACTGGACATGGCCTTACGACATCGCTTTCTTTCACATTCGGTACTACTTTTTAAAAAAAAATTGAGCAAAAGTATTCACTGATAAATTGATGTTGTCGAATGAGCACTGTCATTACAGATCTAGCGTTCACTGAACAAGCCTCCAAAAATCACAGTACTGAACTGAACAACAGCTGCAAAAAATTTAACATGAAGATAAGCACATCAAAAACAGAAGTTATGAAAGTGAGCCGAAACCGTAGTCCCCTGAACATCCATGTCAATAGTAAACAACTGAAACAGGTGAAGGAGTTTAAATTTCTTGGCAGTACTTTTTCTTAAAATGGGTCCATAGACAGAGAAATAGTTATGTGAACCCAAAAAAGCCAACGCCGTCACCTGCCAGCTCGCACCCCTCCTATCTCATCCAAAAATCTCCATGAACACAAAGAGACAGCTTATCACCTCAATATTCAAACTGACATTATGCTACCCGTGCCAGACCTGGACATTAAGTAAAATCCATGAAAGCCAAAATCACTGCTTGCGAAATGAAATTATGTCTCCGCACAACCCTTAACAATACAAGACGAGACAGGCAGAGAAGTGAAGAAGTAAGAGTAGTTATCGGTATTGAGTCCTGCCTGCATTACACAGAAAGATAGAGAATATTAATAAAATGGTTTGGCCACCTCTTTTGTATGTCAACCTAAAACACCAAGCACTTAGGCTATAAAGGAAGAGGAAGGCCACGCAAAAAGTGGATCGAGGGTGTCAAGGAAACCCTGAGAAAACATAATATTGCAACTGAAAGAGCTGCAGACCTGGCCTACCATTGTAAACTGTATCTCCCCTCGACGCTTAACGGACGGCAACAGAGGATGAAAAAGTAAAAGTAAACGTAAAATAAGTCCACTGAACATCTGAATAAAGATGTTGACTCTATTTTATGAGTTATTGTCCTCCTTGTTCTGGTAATAATTATAATCAAGATTACTTTACCGTAAGTTCTACCCTGGTTTTCACAGCTGATTGATGTACTCGACTACGTGAACGACACAGTGTTCTTGAAGATGTACCAACAGGGCCCTGCGGCTCAAATGAGGCCTCAGGAGGGCAAGGCCGCGGAGCTGAAAGAGGCCCTGAAGGATGTGCGGCATATGAAAGTCATGCTGAAGGAAGAGATTCCAGAGGAGAAGCACTACAAGAACCATCGCCGTGTGTTGCCTGTGTTTGCGCTGGCAGAGAACGGATGGCAGATCACAGCGGTCAGTTTTGGGGGGCTTTTTGTTCTTTCGAATAAACGTCTGACGTATGGAAGGGTACAATGAGGGATAGATAGATAGCAGGGGCAGCTCGTGGGTCTAAAAAGTGGGCGTGCACAATAAAGCTATCTCAGGCTGAAGATAATCAAGGGCAGAGTAAATGGGATGGTGTATAATTTTAGGATCTTTGGGTTGGTGAAGGAAGACCTTGTGCTTTTATTTTCATTCTTTTTACTTGTGGCTTTGACTTCTAGAACTAAATCTGTTTGTTAGTTTCACGTCAATTTCATTCATCCTGCATTAGAACTGAACACTCAGGTAATATCTTTCACCGCTCCACTACAAAACCGTTCAAAAGCACAACTCATAGGACGGCGACTTAAGTATGTCACGTTCACTTCCCTCAAGTTCACGGTCACAGAGTCACACTTAAAATAGCGACAAGACAATGAACCAATCACAATTGACTTGAGCACTCCGCTGGATTGCTCCGGGGCCCACATAATTTTGGCATGGAATAGTGCACAGTCTATGACGTTTATTTTTAGATTGCCTACTGTGGGCTATGTTTCGGCGCTATTCGGCAGGAGCACATTTGAGATGTGCCGTCTTATTAATATTAATGTACCGTCAAACTCTCTACAAGTGTCGTCATCGCTTGGTTATCCCAAAGATCGATTTATAGGTCAGGTTTCCACTGTTGACTATCCTGTTATGTTCAGATACAGCGCATGAACTTAGGCAAGGCATAGTAAATGTTTTACGGCGCTATAGAATAGAAATGACAGTTACGGCGCCAGCGAGGGCTTTGTTTTGATATAATATTTGGCTAGTGTTTGTTTCTGGTGTCTTTTATTTTATTATTGT